GAGGGGGAGGGGGGGATAACATAATTAGTGAAGAGAAAGAGAAAGAATAATTGCACGATTATTCTCTTCATAACACCACTTAATACTTGAAGAGAGTGAAAAGGGTGTACGTCATACAGCAATAACTTTAAATCATTTTCAAAATATCTTAGGTTTTTAAAAAAAAAGTGTTTCCTGTTTTGTCTATAACATTCCATGCACCTGCAGTTGGCGTAAGGGATTTTTAAGGAGGAATATTTGGGCAAAAGGCGAGGAGGTTGCTTATTTAAAGAACGTGAAGATGTTAAGGTATATTCTCATAATCTTACCGAATGGATGAAAATAGTTTTCTTTTTCAGGCATCGTGAGGCTAAACAGCGATTTTATATTAGGGAAATGCTGTATGTAACTTAATGAAACTAATCAAAATGTTAGTGGGGTTTTTGGGTGTTTTTTGGGGGGTGGGGTTGGGGGTGGGGGGTGAGTGTGGGAGTTGTTGTTTTTAGTAGAATTTATGGCACAGTTGACACTCACTGCGTTTAATAAACATTTATTAGAGGTTTTCTAGGTCAAACACATTTCTCACAACACCGAGTTTAACATAGTTTATTGTTATGTTGTTTTTTAAAAAGAGTTATTTATGTTTCTTTCAACAATTAACTGTGGCACCGCGCCAAAACGCATTACCTGTGAGGTGCAACAGTGTCATAAACCCAATTTGTCTTCAAAAGGAATGTGTGTGTAGGTACCTTCCTTTATTTCAAAGAAAAAGATAGTTTTAGTTTTAGCAAGGTTTTGCTGCGCTCGCAAAATAATCATAAGGTCATATGAGCGCCAAGGCGTGGATTCCAACAGAGAAGTCCAAAAGGGGAATCAGGCTTACTCTGTTCACCTCTCTAGTCTCAGCAGCACAAAGTCTGCTTCGATGCTTCGACTATCAAGGCACCCCGGAAATAGTGGGTCACAAGAGAGTGACAAACATACAAAAGAAATGGTGGAAATATATCAGCCCATTTACAATGCTTCTGTGCATAAGAACATGTTAATATCCCCCCCCCCTTTGGGAATGGCCTAAAGACAACTTCAGTCAGTAGCACTGTCCCGGGGGAAAAGGGGGGGGGGGTGTCATGAGTGCAAAGACAAAGAGCTTGAGACATTACACTGCAGACACCAGAATGGTACAACAAGCTAAAAACCGAACAAAGTACTTTATTTAGTTGTGTGTAACCTGCACCACTCGCCCCC